ATCACGTTTTAGATAGGATGTCAACAACCGCTTAAAAATAACTGCCTTTACTATGTACAGATAAGTGCATATGTATTATATATTTATATATATACTGTATATTTATTATATATTTTATTGTTATTTAATTCTAACGTTATAGCAGTTGAATTTATTTATACCGTAGTCCAGTGTTTCCCAGGCGGCATATACTGTATATATGTAAACTCATTCTCTGCCAGCAGGAAGCTCTGTTGGAGTGGTAGAGATCAAGGTTTCCCCGGTAACGGCTGTACACACAAAGCAGTGCTCCGCTCAAAAAAACACTGCTTTATCAGACATTACATGCAAGATTAAATGAAAATGACATCCAATTTTCTGAAGACAGTCGGTTTCCTTCAGAAATACAGTGATATAAAATCACCCGCACTCAATGTATGGGAAACACTGTAGTCTCATAATTGAAGTGATTTTACTGGACAATGATTGATTACATCATTGTCCAGTATTGTACTGTCAGCAATTTATTATAAAAACGTTTTCATAATTGTAACATACATATTTACACACATAATTATTCAGGTGCATGTGTAATAACCTGCGAAAACTTGATGCTACAGCAGCACTTCTTCTTTGTCATCTTGTCTGATGCACTCAACCAAGCTTTCTAACCACGACTTCGCCCCTCCCCAACCATTCCAATCTTCGTAGACGGGAATTATTTGAATGATATTCTAATGGGCCGCTTTGTGACATCACAAAACCCGGAAAACAAACGCTGTAGTCCAAACGAGCCGTTCGTTGTAGTTCTTGAAAAGGGATAAAAAAAAAAAACGAAATATCTCCCTTTGGAGTGGACTTTGAGATTTGTAAGTTCGAAGATCTTTTTTATGCCCAAACATACACACTACACACTGACTAAAATTCAAAAAGTGAAAAAGCATAATAGGACCCCTTTAAGCATTAATCCTTGTATTGGGTCACTGTTCTCCGTGTACCATTTCATGTTTATGGCAAGTGGAATGAAAAATGAGAGAGAGAGAACCGAATGGCAGTCACGATGCAATTTATTGTCATGACGGTTTGTTGTCAATAAACTAATTTATGAATGAAATGATGTGATGTGTGGATTACTGAGCTAACAAAGTAGTGCATGATCATGGGTAAACTTTAGTGTCAGAGTTGGTGGTATAATACAACACTACATAATATATCTGAATTTAACATTTGCACTTTAGTTCATAACTCTGGACCCAGCTAATAAGCTGCAGTGGGAATGACTAATGGTTATGAAATATAGCATATACATATGTGGTAACTACATGAAGCAGAGTCCTATATTTGGTAAGAACTTTCCACAAGTTGCTGCTATAATAAGCTAGATAACATTTTTGTATTTTTTTTAGTAACTCTGAAATTGTGATGCTACAATAATTTTTAATAAATAATAATTTTTTTAATCAGTGTCTTCAAATCATATGTCCACATGCTCATCGACATCAGCACAAAATGTTTTACATGCCTTTGAGCTCTTTGAAGGAAAACAAAAAAATTAGATTTGAGCCAGTATATTTTGGAGTGTGGCCTGTAATCACCCTTCGCAAGAAGTTTAATTGACAGGCAATCTGACCATTCATAACACAGAATCTGTGATTTTTGTATGACAAGCAAATCAGACAGGAGAGTAGATTAATTTCAGCAGTGGTTGAAACAAGATGCCTTCTGATGTGCATTCATGTTTATTTCATGCTATAACTAGCAAAATGGAAGAGATGATCGGTTCACGTGCCGTTTGAACTGAGGTGCTACAGCAATTTGTCAGTTTTCAGTGACCGATTCACCCCCTCCATAGTGTTTGTTTGGGGGTGATACACAGTTGTGAGTCTTTGTTCAGTCCCAAGGGTGGTGAGTACATGCTTAAAAAGTTCACTCAAAAATGGAGACCCTCTATCCAAGATCAGGTATGTGGGCACACTGTGATGCATAAAGATCTCGCTAAGCAAATTGCAGGCAGCAACTTGGGTGGCTGCTTCTCTCACCACATTAACTTACACTTCTTGAGTCTTGCTATTACATCAGACTCCTTTTAATGGCTGTAGGTGCATAGAGTATAAGGCACTTCATGGGGTAAAGATTACAGGATACTTTGTCATCCACAAAGTATAGGAGTCCATCCTGGATCACATACTGAGACGATTACCCATCATTACTCTCATCCTGTCCCTCCAACATCTGCAAATGCCTTCCCGTAACTGGATCATTGAGTTACATTTTCCTGGGGTTATTACTTGTCCCTGGCCTATCGACAATGTCAAAGTCAAAATCTTGTTATTGGAAACATCACCTAGGCAAAGAGGTTTGGGAGAGACTTTAACCATCTCAAACTAATCTCAAACTGCTGTGGTCTGAAAAGATTGTCACATGAAGACCCTTTACATACTATATGGCCTGAAGTGTTCAAGGGCCAGATGATAGTCAAACACTCCTTTTCCAGAGTGGAATATGGTCTTTCTGACTTATTTAGGGCACGACTTTCATAGGCCACCACAACGTCTGTACCATTTTCATCTCTTTGCATGAGGGCAGCACCAAGTCTGACATAGTGTCACGAATCCGGTCAACGAACTTTCCTATTCATTGACTCTCGCACTACACAAACTGTTGCATAGCACCCCGGACTACATTTCCCATCATGCATTGCACTGATTGCACTCAGCACGAATTGCACACACCTGTTTACACTGATTGCACCCAGCTGTTTCATATCACTCCCTCACTATTTAACACTCACTCTGTTCCCTTCCCTCTGCCGAGTATTGTTTCAGCATTTATCACTCTCCTAGAGATAGCTACCTTACGGAGCCCTTGTCATTGCCTTAGCCCTAGTCATTAGCCTTAGCCTTAGCCCTAGTCATTAGCCTTAGCCTTAGCCTTAGTCATTTGCCTTAGCCTTAGCCTTCCCGGTTTCTGATCTTCGCCTGGTTCCCTGGATTCACCCCTTTTGTCTTGCCCCTTTTGATTCTGTCTGCCGATCGTCGACCTGTGCTAGCCCTAGGACTATTCTTGTGTTTTGCCCACCATATACCTGTTTGCTCTCATCTGACCCATGCCTGCTGTATGACCACGTCTCTGCCTTTGTCTAATAAAGCTCTGCGAATGGATCCGTAAGTCTCACGTCTCGTCAGCCCCGTAACACATAGCATGCATCAGCATCGATAAAGAAGGGAAGTGAAAAGTCTGTGAATCTCAAAACAGGCACCGAAGTCAGCTTGTCTTTGAGAAAATCCGTGGCAGCCTGACATTCACTCAGCTTTAGCCCCTTTCACACAAAAAGTCTTTATTGGTAAATTACCAGTAAATGACTGGTATGATGCTGTGTATGAACGCAGAATGAAGATTACTGGTATGAACACATATATGTTCAGAACACCCTGATGTAAGACATCTACTTTTGGCCAATCATAACATTCTGATGCAGGTGACACATTAACGCCGCACTGTGTCGTTTATCGGTAAAGTCATTCTGGTAATTGTATGGCAATTTACTGGTTTTACTGTGTGAAAGGCTATTGTCATGGATAAACTGTCTATAAATCAAATAAGTCCTAGAAAATGCATGATTTGTTTTGCATTAGTTGGGGTTTTGAAATCAGTTGCTTCCCTTACTTTATCCTCATTTGGCAGGATACCTTTCACGGAGACATTGTAACAAAGGAAGGTAAGCTTGCTCCTGCAGAACTGGCATTTTGCAAGCTTAATAGACAGGCCTGCACATTTCAGCCTGAGAAGAACCTCTTTCAGTATGTGACGCTACCACAATATCATGTGAGTAGACGGCACATGACTTCTTGAGGAGACCTGCAAAGACAGTGTTCATTAGTCTTTGGAATGTGGCGGGCGCTTTGCAAAATCCAAACTGTAAGACACGAAAATGAAATAACCTGCAGTGGGAATTGAAAGCAGTCTTCTGTTTTGAGTTCTCCACCACTGCCACCTGCCAGTAGCCTCTGGCCAGGTCAGTAATTAGAAACGAAAGTACATCTAGCCAGGAAGTCAATAGATTCATCAATCCTCAGGAGAGGATATGGGTCTTTGACTGTGAGCTTATTTAGTATGCAATAATCATCACAGAACCTTGGCTCCCTCGATTGTTATGGGACAATTATGACTGGAGCAGCCCAAGGACCACAAGAAGGTTCAATTATTCCTTCCTTTAACATGTCCTTGATTTGAAACTCAGTGAGTTCTTTTTAGGTGAACTGGCCTTGCATCCCCTGTATTGATCTCATGTTCCACAAGGGAGGTGTGTCACAAATGTCCGTCAAACAAACCACTGAAGGTCTCGAGCAGCTCAGTCGATTTGCTTTTCTGTTCGTTATTTAGTCTTCTACTTTCTTGGACAGGGTAGAATAATTGACTCCTAAGAACAACAATTCAGGACTAGGTATCATTAAGTCTGCACCCTCTAACCATGCCTAAGCGCCACCATCCAAAAGCTTGACCATAAAGGTTAACCTTTACTCTGAATTCCAATGGAACGTGGAAACAACATTCTCTATATAACACAAGGTACGCTGATCATTTATGGAAGAATCAGGTAAGCAAGGCACATTTACCTTCTGGAGCCCCCCCCCCCCCAAAGTTCCCCCTCTGGTTAAAGCCAGTGATTAATTTCCCAATAGCCTGGTTAGAGCCATCCATCCTTCCTACCTTTGGTCCTTTACTAACATAATCTCCTGGTTCCATTGGAGGCAAACCACAGCTTCACTTTTTGACTTCAGTTTGGGCAAGTATGAGTGGTGAAACCAGGCAAAGATCATTTAAAGCAATGAACTTCCCTCGAGGGTGCACTGCTAGCCTGTAACTGAGGCGAACATCCAACACTTGGACCAAGGCTGAATGAAGCTTGTGAGCCCACAAAAGCAGGTCCATGACTGACGGTATGGGTGTGCAATAAAAATAGACTTTATAGTTCTCAAGTACATGCTGTGTGGGCCAGAGACTCCTTCATCTAGATATCATACTATATAGACATACTATATATAGTGTCTGTTTCCGAAACTAGCAAATACAAACAAAACAGCCAAATGAATTTAAAGGGTAATAATTTAATTGATGTTCAATTCGTCTGTATCACGTCTATTTGCTCTTGCTGGGTGGAGGGGTCTTTAGCTTACATAAATCCCCCAACATGTGAGCAACAAAAGTTGGCAGTGGCTCATCAGGCATTTGCATGCAGTCCAAAATGCCCCTCAGGATATGTTCTTGGTTGTCTGAAGGCAGGAAGACCATTCTAAAAAAAACTCACAGAACTGAGCCCAAGTGGTCACATGAGTGCTAAAGATGGTAAACCATTTTCTTGGCTCTTTTGACAGGAAACATGGGAGCTTAAGGCGTTGAACTGGCCAAAGGAGCTAACTGTGCAACCTGTGTAACAGGTGCAGTACACTCTTGATGCTATAAGTGGTCAAGCATTTATTTTTGTAACTAAATAGAGTCATAAAGGCACCTCTACAGCACTACTACACCTCTGCTGGACTTGAGCCCTCCAAGTCTCCAACAGAATTCTGTGACTCCCTCTGTTGTGGAAAAGAGTCATCGACTGTGGGCCAGTCAGTTAGGTCAAACTGCAAATCAGGGTGAGTAGCCATTTTGTCCCAAAACACAGTAACATTTAACCAATGTAAACAA